ACAAGGAGAAGCAATGCATCGAATGTGGGGAAGGAGAGAGAGTGTGGAAGGTGAGATTCCAGGGAGAGGGAAACCTCCTCTTAAGTGCGGACAGAGAAAAAGAGAGGAAGAGGGACCACAGCTGCTGCCTCAGCAGCCACAGTGTCAGAGAAAAACCCTCCTTCTTATGTTTGCATATGCACATTTCTGCATCTGCTAATGAACTACATTTTTCTTCACTTCCAGAGCCAAAAGATTGTTAATTCCTAAAGTCTGTTGTTACCTATTTCTTCCTGGCTTTCCAGTGTGCATTTTCAAACATGCATTTGTTTAGGAAGGTTAGTTTCTTGTTACACAGCAGAAATATTTGTGTTAAATCTACTCCATAAAGGCCCCAAAAACGTCAAAAATGTTCTGGAAGCAGAAAAGAAATAGTTATGAGGAAGGAAAGGAGACACTGCAGGAAAACTCATTTGCTGAGAAATGCAGCTTATGTCTTATCAACTTAATTCCAGATAAGTCTTCATTTTGCTGTGAAGACAGAAGCGATAAATATGTTAATGGCAGATTTTGATAGTTCAGTTTGTAGAATTGCAAAGCCAGATGGAAGTGATAATTTTTCTTTCATTTTAATTTTGAAATAAAAAGCAAGAAAGCAAGAAAGTTCCTGATATCATAACACTGTAATGACTTTTGGAAGGATAATGGACCCTAGCACAAAATGACGATTAACTATCATGCCCTGATACTCCTATTTTATTAAAATCCAGTTTCCCTGGTTAGAATTCTCTCCTGCCAGAGACGAGCAGATTACTGCCTGAAACTGACTTTTCCAGTACCACATTCATAAAGGTATTTAGGAACAATCCAGCTGCTGAGTATTTTACTGATTCTATTGTTGCTCAGGTTAGATACATGACTAAACATACCATTGAAAATAACATTGGATGGAGCTAACCTCTCTTTATCAGGAGTGAAATACTGCCTTTTTTTGTCCCTTAAGTAGTGCACTTAGTGCACTCAGGGTACTAGAAGTACTAGGACTAAACTGTGGCTTTTCATGCATTAAGATTGCATTTATCAAAATTTGGTGTGGGCTCTTCTTGTTTCAATTTAATACAAACCACTGAGGGGCATATATTAGCACCTTCTTAAATCTCTAGGATATTTACAGCTTCAACTAATAGGCAAAGAGAAAGCCAGAAAACTTTTGCTGCTTGAATGGGAGGAAAACAGGTAGCAGGTAAAAAGGAAATTTAAAAAACAATTTTCAATGGAGTTACTAAGTGAAAACTTGGTTTTGTAATATTCATAGTGGTGGTTGTAACTGTGGAGACAGAATAGACACATCTGTCTTGTTCCCTTTAAATGAATTTTCATTTCAAGAAAGTGAGGCCCTGACTGGTTCCTCTCCAAGGAACTTCTCTCCAGGACCAATTTGGCAAGAAAGTGAGATGCTCCATTCTCAAATCAGTAGCATTAACTTCTAGGGTTTTGTTTGATCATTCTCACTTTCTAGATAAGCTCACAAATTAGGAACTGAATGACTTAAACCATTTAATTCAACATGTCAGTTAGATCCCCTTGTGAACTTTATTCCAGCAAGGAAAATGTGGATTTCTGGTGAATTACTGCTTGTACCCCATATTTTACAATAAGACAAAGGGTACAAGTTGCTTTATCATCCTTGTCCTCAGTTGGGGCTGCTTGTAGGTAGAGGTGATATTGGTTATTGGATAATATCTTCTATCTTCTATCCATATTAAATTGATATCTGCTATATGAGATCAGATTAATTTCATCATTCAGTACAAGCTGTTTTGTTTCATTTGTTTAGTTTACACATATTTGCTTGTGGTTTGTTTATTCGATTAGCAAGTAATACAAAATTGCAAACATACGTGATCTGTATGTTTCTTACTCAAACAATGTTTGTATGAGAGAGAAAGGGAAAGTCTATGATGTACTGTGGAGGGGAGAGGAGAGATCCCCAGGCTCTGGAAGGGAAAGCTGTATCAGCAGGACCTGAGCCAACTTAATTACCACTGTGAAAAAACTCAGCAGAGTGCTTGGTTAATGCAGCTATATTATGTTTGAGAATTCATGTGTTATCTCTGGACTTTGCTGAACTGTGCAAACATCCATTTCTCTGTAGCATTGCACCTGAGGTTCCAGTCTGTGTTGGCTGTTAATCTCGTACAATTCAGTGACTAACATGACCAAAAGTACACAGTGAAGCATACAGTCCTGCTCTGGCCCTAGGGTTCCCCTACCAAGGTCAGAGAACAGCAGGAAGAGACAGCTGGAGCCTCTCTGCCCTCATGGCCTTGCTCTGAGCTAAGAGGCAATCAGAGCACAAGCTGCAGCTAAAGGTGACCCACTCTTGCAGATTATCCTCAGGTATTGGCATAAAACAGACAGATCTTAGTCCTCTGAGGACTCATGCAGCAGCAGCATTAAATCCTGGAGCTCCAAGCCAAGCAGAGCTTCCCAACTGGTGGGCAAGGAAGCCATTTACCACCCTCCAGCAAGCAGCCAGAGCTCCCCAGGCACCAGGCAGGGAGCTGCCTGCAGGAGGAGCAACTCATGCAGCACTAAAGCTTATTCCAGGCTGCCACCTTGTCAGGCTTAAGTTCAGCTCATTAGGACGCTCATCTGTTATTTATGTAAATAAGCCTATGCATAGTCACAAATATGCAAAGAGGGCTGTTTATCAGTTTGGCACAATTTCCAACTTCAGACATTCCTGATGCATGTATAAGAAAATGTAGTCTCCCCTAACGCTGCAGAGGGGCCAAGGCAGAGCCTAGCTGCTACCATCCACGTCCTCTCAGAGGACTCATGGTGCTTGGGATAGAAAAGATAATGCATTCCGTGTGACTTTAAACCCAATATGTTACAGCTCAGAATGCTTAATCTAATGAATAAGGGATCTCTATTTGTTTCACTTTCCCAGGGAAGGAGATTTGCAAATCTGCATAATCTAAGCATTCTGATTGCAGTTTATTATTTATTTATAACAAATATGTGACAAAAAAAAAAAGGTCTTCTGAAATAGTGTTTAAATTATCTCCTTCATCTGGACAGCTGCAGTCTAAGGTTGCTCTCACTCATGAATGCACGAGGAGGAACCTCATATGCGAAGGAACCTCAGCTCATCTATCTCCTGCTCATTTTGCTCTCTCCTCACTTCAGGAACATATCTTCTGCATGCACCTGATCTGGAAGCAGCATCCCCCTGCTTTGCTTCACACACAGCCATCACTAACTGCAGGAGGTCTAAGTTCTCCTGACAAGGGTACAGGTCTACCAGAAACACAACTTCAGGGAATTTTTCCCCAGTTCTGTACTCCAGAACAGTACCAGGCTGATTGCTTGCCTATTAGCTCAGAGACCAGTTTCTCATGTATCCTGCCTCGCTTAACAGGATGGCTTATTTAAGCTGCTGCAATGTTCATTGAACAAATTAATAGAAAAGAAGTTTCTGCATGAAAGATGGGAGAAAATGATATGGGTTTTTGTTGTATTACCCTTATCTGAGGGACCCCCTTATCCATTCACTTCTCCTATGGTGTGTTGTAACCATCTTCCAGGATCTATGTGGAGCTTTGGACTTGCATGTAGTCTTGGAATTGGCATGAGGGGAGGAAAACCTCCAGCAGGCAGAGAGGTACTCACAAATGCTGCACTTTCAGAGGGACTCCAACTGGACTTTAGTTTGATAGCAACAAAAAAACCCCCACTTTCTATGAACCCCTCAAAATATAATTACATGAGTTACATTGCATTTAAAGTATAGCACAAACACAACCCAGAGACCTGAAAGTTTTTCCCTCTTCCCCTGTAGGGAATTTTTATTTGCACATGAGGTCAACTGCAACCTAAGTTAAATACCTCCTAGACAGTGTCTCTCATTAAAGCCCATCAACCAGCCTTTGATTCTTTCAATACAAGCAAGAAAATTGTGGTGGGTTAACCCCAGCCAGCAGCTAAGCATTCATCCACGTGCTTGCTCACTCCACCATGACATCAGGATGATGATCTCATCAGAAGAGAGAAGAGTAAGAGCAAAAGCAAGAAAAGTCATAGGTTGAGATAAAGACTTTAATAAATTAAGGAAAGAGGAAAAAACCCACAAAAACAGTGATGCAAAGGCAGTCACTCACCACTTCCCACAAGTAGACTGATGTCTGGCCAGTCTCTGAGTTAGGCTAACTTCCTAGACCAATCACCCCCTCAGTTTTTATTTCTGAGCATGGCATTATATGCCATGGAATATCCCTTTGGTCACTGGGGTCAGCTGTCCCATCTGTGTCCCCTCCCAACCTCTTGTCCAACCCCAGCCAACTTTCTGGGGGAAGCCCAGGAAATAGGTCTTGATGCTGTGGGTGCACTGCTGTGCAATAGCCAAAAGATTGATGTTGTCAACCCTGATTCAGTGACAAATCCAAAACACAATGTGTTCCCTTGGGTTAAACATGAATAAAATTGTCCTAGAAGGGACACTTCTTTCTTAACATCAAGTGCTTCTAAAATGACTGCCTTTTTTTTTTTCCTTTCCCAAACCTATTTGCCACTTAGGTAAGTGCAAACAATGAATTCAAAAATTTCTATACGACCTGTCCTTATGGGAACTTGAACTTAATTCTGCCATTTCCAGCTGAGCAAAATTCTCTTTACATCATGAAAACATATGCTTCCCCTTAATGAAGATTTAAATACAGGCACTTCAAGTCTCTCCCTTCAGTTCTACAGTGGTGCAGTAAAGGATTATCCATGCAAAACTATACAGCCAATATCTCTGCTGTGAGCTGGCATGGTTCTGTTGTTTTTCATGGATCAATTAACACACACTGGAGATTTTAGCCATTCTTGTCTATAATGGCTAATTTGCCTATTACTGGGAGCTGAGAGACATCTGTGTGCATGCTGTAAGGATTCAACAGAGAAATGAAGACTTGAAACCCACAGAACATGACCTGTGATTATAAGACATTCAAAGACAAGCTGTGATACCTTACCTTTGGAGCATGTAGTACATCAGACACATCTTGTTTAGTTACTGCAAAAGCAAGTTTGGGGGCAAGTGTTGTTGGCTTTTTGGGAGGCCTAGGTGGTGGATGAAGGGTTTGGTTTTCATATCTTCGCACCATATAGTATTGCTCTTCACTGATCTCTTCCACTGTTGTCTTAGTCACAGGTGGTACAACTACCTGGACATCTTTGCTGAGCAAATGGACCAACATGTTTAAGCGATATACGGGAATCTCCCAGCTCTCCACTGGATTGGTGGCACTACTGATCAGCAAGTAAGAGTCTGTGATTTCCTCTTCAAACTGCAGACCAGGCACTGCAGCCAAGACATCTTCCTCAATGGAAAGGTCCCTCATGGACACTTTGACATTAAAAGGCAAACGGAATTCTTTGCAAATCTCAGAAAGGTGGTACCGTTTCTTGTCATGAATCACTTCCACAAAGCTGCCTTCCATGTACATAGGGAGGAGCACTTTTTTATACGTATCACTTAGTATTTGCTCACAAGCTAAAACATCTACAAGTTTCTTTCTTCCCTCGTAAAGAATTTCACTAGTCTGGCACTGCTGAACTAGAAATTGATCTCCAACCGAAACAGAAAAAAACTCTCTATGAGGGGAAGTAAAGGCTTTAGTTGCCACAACATGAAGCTGTTCCTTTTCACTTCTTGCTATCTCTAAGTCATAGGCAGTTGGAAGCTCACGAGGTCTTCTCTTGAACTTTCCTTTGTAGCTCATAGGGATTAAAAAATGTCTTTTGGGAGAATCACTTCTGATCTCAGACGCTAGGACTCTTGCTGCCTGGTACTTTTTGTAGATGATAATCTCTTTCCCTGTAGACAATAAATTATAAGGGTTTTGGCTTCCTGAAGGCCCTTCCATTATCTCAGCAACCATAGGAAATTCCATGCTTGTTCTCTCAAATACATCTTCCAAAGACAGTGGCTGAAGGAAAGAGCTAATATCATAACAGTCTGTTATATCCTTGACCTCAACATCTAGATCTGAGAGGATATGAACTATGTCCTTTCGAACTGCAAAGGAAAAGAAAATAAATACATTGGGGTTTGTTTTCAAACTGACATTGGGATAAAATACACATCCTGTTGGCCAGATACTAAAAGTACCTTCCCTGAGATGTGCTGCCCCATGTGTAAACATGCACCATGAATAAGGCCAGAAAGTCTAACCGTTGTAATTTGAGATATATGGTTATCAGATATGCATAAGACCACACAAAGGAAGAGAGAGAATAAGGTATATGAGTGAAAGAAAAGCTTAAGGAAGAGGAATGGGAAAAATATCTAGTTTACTATTTTACCCACAGCACTTCCAAATTTAATCAGTTGTTTATCTTATCAAAGATATCTTTCTTGGGTACTATTTCTATTCTTTCATTTCATAGTAACTTATGGTTTCTATAAAGAAGAGAGTGGGAAAACATGCTTAATAAATAAATACATTTGAATCCTTTAGCACATGTTGTTGCTATGGCCAGTCTGGGAGAAATAAGGTGTTTTGATATTTATAAAACTAATAAAAACATCTGTAATTACTAGGAAATAATGTCACAAAAAAAAAAAAAAAAGAAGGCAAAACCTTTCTGTAACAAAGTCTAAGGTTATGGTTTACGAATTAGGACATTCTACTATAATTCTCCTCTGTGGAAATCCTTGTCTGCATCACCCGGTTTTATTCACTACCAGAACTGAGCCATTGAATTTGACCATCTGTCAGGGAACAACAGCACTTTTATCACAATTGAACTTGCAAAATTTTTAATGCAAAACTTCCAAGCATAAAGCTGACTATGAAATTAAGGCTTGTTTAAGAATTTGGCTCCAAATCAGTGACTCCACAGATCTCTGACCAGGGCAGTAAAATTTAACAAGCAAATAATATTTAATTACTTTCTTCAATAATACTTATTCTGCATAGACCTACACACATGGATAGTATACCCTGGGTTCACATTTCCTTGTAGCAGGATATACTGATATTTTATACTGTAAAGTTGGTATAAAGTGTATTTTATATGAGAGAGTTCTGTGGCAGTGATTCAGGACCTGCTTTTGACACCTTCAGGTGACAAACATCCTAAGCACTTCAAGGGAAAGATAACAAAGGAGAAATGGCTAGTGAAAATGAAAGTTTTCTAGGAGCATTTGAGGGAGTTCCCCACACATAACTTGTTCATTATTAAGAATGAGAAGTATAGAGGATTCCTGCTCACAGTCTGTGAAAATGTAATCAGTTATCCCACTTATCAGGAATCCTTTTTATTGAATAGTGGATAGTATTTCTCATACTTTATCTTGTGTCTATTTATAGTTCTTCTAAAAATGGTGAAAATCCATTTTTCATGGTCCACAAGAAAGTAGTTAATCATGTACCATGAAGCCTACTCTTCAAGTTTGTATTAAACAGTTATTTAGGACACATTTCATGCTTCTTAAAGGTTGAGAACACTACGAAATATAAAATAAAAACAACAAATACAACTTTCACTGGAATAACTCATTGGAAGACAAGTGAATACCAAACATTCTGCATCTTCTGAAAGTTTTTAGGGACATTAAATTCATATTAATTCTGCACAAATATTTAAATGGGTATAGAAACATACCTAAGTGAATGCAGCTTCAGGAGATGAGCTAGATTCCTGAATCTAGCTGGAGTTATAGCAAATGGAGTACTTTATCTTGTGAAGTATGTTTTCCAAACTCACACATTAAATCACATAGCAAGCACATATTGTATGATAAGCATATAACAACTACACTATAGTGTGTTAACAGTCTCTGCCCACCTTCATTTCTTTTTCTTTTATCCATTTTCTTACATCATTCAACAGAGAAAGCTCAATTATGAAAAGATTTCCTACTTAATATCCTCACGAATTACATATTTCTGTTAGGATTTAATTTCTACGCAGCTCACTAGTTTGGTTCTAGCAAATACAACAGGTAGCAAAACCCTTCCAAAAGCTAAGCTACTATCCTGCAATTAGAACTCAGCTGTTTCAGTGTTTTGGTGGAACAACTAGAACAACAATATCCAATGTGCCATGGATATTTTTTGGTTTTTTAAATAAAAACTCATAACACAAATTACAGCTTTTAAATATATTGGGTTTGTAATCTTTCTGTTTCCTCAAACCTAGAGGTTTCAGAAATTGTCCATGAGTTTCTTCTGTTTATATTCTATTGATATTTGTTTCCGCAATAAAGTAAAGTAATATGATTTTTCTTTCTGTGGCATCCTCATTCTGAAAAATAAATGGTGATTAAGTGTATTGCAACATATATGTCTATATTCTTTTTCTACCTCCTTAGCCATAGCCATAAATGTTTATTTGGCTTCTCCATGGCCAAAGTCTGAGATGCAAAGAAAGAGAATCAGACAACCGAACAGAATTCCTAAGCTCCACCTTTTCACCATGTGATATATTTTATTTGCAGTGAGGATTTAATTGTAGTGATCAGTAAAATGATAACAGAAAAAAATTCAAGGTAACAATCTGAATTAACAGATGATAAAGGAATAATAAAAGCAATATTGTTTTTAACTTTCTTCATCTTGAAACTATCATCAGTGTCAAATATGGATCAGGAATTTTTGATAAACTGAATCTTTCCTGGCTATTTTAAGCAAATGTGTATTTAAGGGTACTGTGCTATACCAAGTTTAACACAACATGATTTTGATTCCTACTTACATTTCATTACTGCCTGCACTTCATAGACAGGCATGAGAATCAAGCAGCCATCAAAATTCTCAGGAAGTGGATTAGAGGAATCCCACATATGTAAAGTATTGGAAAGTTTGACAATCCGTTTTCTGCACTTAGGGATTTTCCATTCTGCAATTTCTTTTAGGGTGTATATCTGGCCATCTTCGCACTCGTAGAATTTTCCTTCTTGCGAAAGAGGCAAAGTAAAGGAATGAATCTGGTTATTTCTGACCAAGACACAGTTCACAGCCATTGTTCCATTGACCTCTTCCACCGAGTTGAAGGTGATCTGTTCACCATGTTTGATTGTGAAGTTTGCCAGTTTTATATCCTCAGGGCTGTAGAAACATGGATGGCCAAATCTTGTTGGCCCAATAGAGACTTTTCTAGTGATTTCTTCAATGCTGACATATGGAGTTTTATCTGCCACAACCTTATAAAGACCTAAGAGCAGAAAACTTGCATTATAAAAAGGGAAATATACAAAGCAAGTCACGCCAAATTTTAGACTGTGAGCATAATAAAAATGGGGAGCAAAGCACATCAGACAATTCACAGATGACAGTTCAGTTGCTAGAAATCTGACTCTACAAAGATAATATCGGCTGCATGGTACAAGGTACAGGCAGCTGGCATTAACCCTTTCTACTCTGCATCTAATTTCTGACATACAACATTTTTTTGTCCACAGTTAATTTTTTCTTTGCCACAGAATAAAGAAAAATTATCTTAAATTTTTATCTGTCTTCTCAGAAAGCCAACCTTTAAGAGTTAAATGCAGATACGGTACAAGGAAGAGCAACATTAAAGTGATCAGTGAATGCAGGATAAATTTCTGCCTAAACATCAGTACTATATAACCTTCCACACACAGACTGGGGATTCCTAGACAAAGTATGCTTAAAGATACAACACAAATGAAAAAGTAGCACCTACAGATAAGAAAAAGCAAACAGATTTTAGCATATCTGATAGCTCAGTGCACCAGCTGGATTAATTCAAAGGCTGAGTGTTGCAGCACTCCAACCATCACAACGCAATTAAAATGTTGAAGTTCTGCAAAGCAGAAGCCGTATCTGAGCTTCCCTATCCCCTAGGGACATTATTATTTCATGTTAATCACGCCCCTTGGAGCTGTCTCATTAGGAGTTTGCATTGCAAGAAAAATGTGTACATTTCTATATTTGTGTGAGTGTTTTCATGAAGGAAGATGAACTGGAGGGTTTAGAAGACTAAAATGCAGGGCTTAGCTGAACTGTGTGATTCAGCTGTCTTCTTCACAAGGCGTGGCAGCATTGTGAATGCTGCCTCATGGAATTATAGTGCAGCTTCCTGAGACAAAGACTCTCTTCTGAGTGAATATAACTGAGCACAGAGGTTATTGTTAGGCCAAGTTTGCTGACCACAACTTAACCAACAGCTACATGTACAGTGATAAAGAAGCCAAGCTCCCTTGGAGATACTGCACCTTTTCTCCCTTTTATCTCCCAAAGCCAACTAGCAAAAATCCCATTAACCCACTTCTCCACACTTCTGCTCCTCTGGACTACACAGAGGGCACTTTACTTTGGCTGTTAAGGAGGAAGTATGGGATGAGGAATCAAGGAGTCCTGATTGGTACCACCAGAGACTCTTTCACAGCAGCTCCACATCTCAGGAGTAGTTAGTTTAAGCCATGTCTATAAGGTTTTAAATCCGACTGCCTGCAGCCACTTAGTGTGGGAACTGGGTTCACACTAGCCATGACTCCCTTCTTGTGGGAACCAGAATGTGAGAAAAGTGCAAGATGTCCCAGCAAATACTGAAATCTCAGCAAGGTGGGATGCTGCAAAACACACAGTTGCTGCAAGATCTTGGGAAAAAAAATCACTCCCTTCTTTACACCTTCCCTGATTGTGTGATTGTTTAAAAAATTAGATTAGGGGATTGCTTTGGTTAAAAATAAGCAATTTGTTTATTTCCTCCCACACCTGTTCCCTTACTACTGACCACAATCAACACAACTGAGGGGCCTGCATGGAAGCAGGGTCTCCCTAAGATTGTATTCCTTAAAAAGAATATCAAACCATTAACTCCAACACAACAGACATTTTTTTCCTTTCTTTTTTCTTTTTTGTTTGTTTTGTTTGTTTTGGATTTTTTTTGTTTGTTTTGTTTTTATTTTGGCTACAAAATAAATGTGATTCTGGCTTTAGAGGAACAAAACCCACTGCTTTCACTTCATAATTCTAGCACCGTCCTTGTTAAAGGAGATGTTATTAAGATTCTGTCTGTTGAGTTGCTTTTAACTGAATTTATCACCTGATTGGGCATGTTTGGTTCTGGGTGTCCCATGAGGCCACTAGTAACTGTGGGAACTAGCAGCTCTGAGGGCCTGTTAGCAGCCTGAAGACTAATAGTCTATTTGATCTTCTGCAGAAATAGTCACTAGTTGTGCCTATGTCACTGCTTTCTGCAGTTCTGTGCCTTCACAGTTGTCTGTATGAAAGCCAGCTTTTCCTGTGTAAAATTAGTACCCCTGTGTACATACATCCTCTGTATGTCCTGTTCCCCAAGGACATACATACATATATGTCCTTACTGCAGCACTGCAGGAAAAACTCCAGGCTTTTTCCTGGGCTGCAAGGAAGCCACATCCATGAATGTAGCTGCACAAGTACAAAGTACAACTGCGACACACTTTTCTTTCCCACTGGTAGTTGTAATATTTCTCATAGCCATTTTTAACACAATTATTAGCAAGGAAGCTATCCACCCCAGTCCTAATCACTACTAAAGCTGTCAGTGCAGATGAACACAAACAGGTTCATCAGCATTTAGAAAGTAGCACAGTGTGGGAAGCACCAATGACAAACTGAAACTGTGGAAAAGACAGTATCCCTCAGTGTTCCAGTTTCTTGCTTTGCAAGCACAAGATGGGTATCATCTCCTGGAAGTGCTGGGAGAAAGCAAATACAAATATTCTCAATTAAAAAATATATTCAAAGTAGTTATGATGTGTCCCAAAGGCAGTAACTATGCTTACCCATCTGTGATACAGGAGCACGCATATTTTCCCTCACAAAACCTCTAGATTTGCATTAAAATGCCTCCATAAACTGTGCTTAAAAAACACTTCCAGTTGAAAATATTTTGCAATGTACAGGTACAAGGAACATTCTTTTCCTCTATGAGTCTGACAGTAGTCTCAGGCTCTACTAATTTTGCTGGGACTACAGAGTTATTTGTAAGCCAGCTATTTCAGCAGCAAACCAATGAGCATTCTGAATTAGAAAGTAGGTTTCACAGGAAGCATAATTATCCAATTTCATACAAAACTAGACAACTGATTATCCTCTTGGGTCCAGGCAGACTGATTTTGTCAAGGCTGGGAGCAGAGAAATCTTCACCTTCTGTTCTACTGGTGTTCTTAATTTTGGTAACAGAATGCTGGTTTAGGCAAGTAAAGAGCCACGTGGCCTTGCATACTTAGCTTTGCATTGATGAGATTCCTGAAGTGGAGGCACCTAATAGCCACCTATGAGTGGCTATGAGTATGCAAAGTTCCATATGCTTCTCTCTCTCTAGAAAATAGGTAAATATATATAAAGTTATTTAGGTATGTTGGGTGAAAGTGACTGTGGTTCCTATGTAACTCTCATAATCTACCATGGTATCCTCTTATAAATGCTCTCTTTGCTACTATATATATATATAAAAACAAAACAAAACCACAAGAAACCCAAACAGTATTATCTGGAACCACTCGCAATCTTATTAAAATCATTATGAATCAAATTGCAAAACCAAATGTTTTCCAAACCTAAGATAACAAGGAAATCTCCAGGAGGAGGAGACATATGGTAAGTTTGAGATAGTAAAGTTTGGACATTTTGAGGTCAAACAAAAATATTTTTGTATTTTTTCATAAAGCATAAAATGAATAAATCAAATTCACTTAGACTTTCCTAAGAGATCTTGGTGGACTATTAAGGGGTAAAACAGATGGAAATAGCAAACCTGGAAAAAAGTCCATCTGGTTTATCAAGATCTGGCATTACTGCTCCTACAGATCTACTTTCTAAACGTAATCTGGCCTACAATCAAAGTGCGCTGATGCCCAATGGTTTTGGCTACACACATACAATAACTACAGGAATATATAACTGTTCTTTTCCATGAAGCCTCTGTACCTAACGAAATTTCACTAGGTGAAATGTCAGCCTAGCTACAACATTATAATTAATAAGACCCAAACCTAATCAGACCATCATTTTCAAGAGAAGTTTTACTAATTGATGTACAGATTGATAGCGAGTTTGAGAATTTGAGAAAATTATTTTCTTCGGTATGGGAGACAAAACATAGCCTGAGGATCACAAGATTAAATGTGCTATGGGAAAGCGTGTTTTGACAGAAGGATACTTTTACCACACTGTAGCCTTCCAGACTTCTGATTTTCGGTCTTAATTAGAGTCCTGAAGGAAAGGACTATCCTTTTTACTCTCTTTTCCTCACAGAAAACTGAGAAAACCAGTAGTTAGGCTTTCCTAGTAGAGCAGCAGGTAATCTTCAAGAAGAGCAGAAAGATTATCTGTCCCAGACTGCCAGTTTCTGTTCCCCAAGGTAATGCAAAAGACTGGGTAGAGCACAGTTCCTAACTTCTCTGGAGCTGACTTAATTGCTATCCCTCTTTTCCCTCACCTCCACCACCCACTCTCTACCCCCTCTGCTCCAGCATTCTCCTCTCCCCATCCTATTCCAAAGGCCAGCTCTACATCATCTCTTGTTCAGATGAGCCTCCTAGTTCCTAGTCCCTGTTCTTCCACAGATGTGCTGCACGTCCACAGACGAGTCTTCTGTCTTGTGACTCGCAGAGGCTGAGCACTCAAAGGGGACAGTTGTGCTCAGTTATCTGTCAGACCACATAGGAACGAGCAGCAGCCAACAGCCAGGGACCTCATGAGAACGAGGTCAGTCCAGAAATATTTTTGCAGAAGAAGGAATACAACAGAATGAAATGTAATTGTTTGCGCTGGCACACAGTTCAGATGTTCTGCAAATTATCTGTCTGCTAATTTGCTAGCAGTGAAAATTGTAGTTCGAAATGTGGTTAGATGTAGCCGTTGAAGTGTCTAGAGTAACAGCAGACTTCTTTTTTTTTTTTACCCAGTGTATAAGCACAGAAAGAATAGCCTGGCCCTCTGAGGCATGAAAAAGAAAAAATCAGAATGAGGATAAAACAATGTAACACAGTTAGTGAACTTGCAGTTGCAGTGGTTTCTCTAATGCAAAGGGCAGATTAGGCCTTTATCAAGGATCTGATTTGCCAGAGCAGAAAAAAAATAGTATCAAAGCAAAAGATTTCTCTGCATCAACACTGGCAAGAGAGCACTGCACGTACAATGTAAATACAGTGTCAGCCTCCTAAAGACCTGTGGATATTTTTATTGAATTAAGTCAATGTCAGTGTGAAAAAGATCATCTGTAATTCAGTTCTGTGCTTTGTTCAGGAGATAAGGGAAAGCCATGTTTCACGTATAATGTTTCAATTAGAATTTAGCATGTGCACTTAATAAAGTGAAAAGGAAGGTCAAGAAGAAGCAGAGACGGGGAAATCTTGACTCTGCAGAGCAGAATAATTCTTCAGCTAAGAACTAAATTAGAGAAATGACAGATTTACATCTTACCAAATAGCTCTTGAATGCATAAGAGTACGTATACAGAGAGAAATAGGAAAGAGGTGCTCCCTGTTGGGCTAATAAGAAGTGTCATTATACACCTCTTCAGTGCTGCTATTCAGCAATACCTGTCACGTGGAGTATAATGATGATAAATTTCAGCAAAATGAACTCTGAATCTATTTTTCAAGTGAAATAACACAGTTTTCTAGAACACTGGTTGCGAGAGTTCGTAACTATGTATGCAAATTGTGATGATTAGATCAAATTTGAAAATGTGCTCAATAGGGCAACAACATCCAAATGCCAAGTTGTAAAAATGATCACTTGAATGCAAACAAATCCTGATTCTCTAGGTTCAAGCGTATGAAATCACAAGTCATTCTGTTCTAAAGACCAGACATCAACAAATGTAGGATTACTTTTATCGCTCTGTTGTGTTGGATATTTTAGGATTGGACCCCATCTGCCAATCAGGATTTAGAATATGACTTCCTATAGGTATATATATTTTAGAGATAGGAGAAATTTTAATAATAGTAAGGAAGCTTGGATTTCAAGAAAAATACCAAGTATCTTGAGAGTTCACAGGAGAGTCATATTTCAATACCTCTAGATAGCCACAGACAATTAAAATGACTTTGATCCTACATTTGGGCCCTACTAGTGCTTGAAAATGGCATTCCAGAAAAAGTTTTTTGATAAGTGGTCATATAAAGAGTTCTGATTCACTGAGAAAGAAATACGTGAAAGTAAATTCAACATCTACTTGAGGGGCAAATACGATATATATACAACTATTTCAGAGAGAAATCTGAAATAAAGTCATGGCAGAAGATATTTTTATATGGAAATCAGATAAAACATTGCATTCCCATGCACTTTTACATTTTATTTGCTTCAAGAAGCATGTCCTGTCTCCCTCTGCAGAAAAAGCACATACCAGTTTGGACGCTGTCATAACCTAAACCCTTGCATGCACACACTCACATGCTCAGCAAGACATTAGAGCATCAATGAAGTTATTAAGTCAAGCACTCAAACACCAGAAAACATTCATATCATGTTCCCCATGCAGCATCAACTTATTCTCCCATGTGCTTGCAGTACAATACAGTGCTAATTAAATGTTTACATTTTTTTTTTCTACAAAACTGTAGTCTCATTCAGTTCATTAGCTAGACTAAAGGCAAAAGTGAGTCCTGGATGTGATCTCAGACTCTTGAAGTCTGCTGTGTCCTGTGTGTGCTCTGTCCCAGTGTTTCCTACCTGCAGGTGACCCTAACTTCTCTCCAGACCTAAACAGACTTCTTCCCATATCCCACTGGCCTTATGCTGTTTTCCAGTCTGCTCATCTCTTCTCTTCGAGCAGCTCCCATTACCTCTGCTGCCTGCAAGAGTCTCAGTATAGGAATTTCCCTACTTATATATTTTCGTGTGTGGGTGAGATATTCCTCTGCTGCTGAAATCACCTGCACCTCTGTCTCCAGTCCCTGACCTTTGCATGGCAAGTCTTGATCCTTCTGTTCTGCTCTGAGGGGTCCAATCTTTTTCCATCATTTTCCCAACCTAGTTTGTCTCCTCTACTTCCCACACATGGGATACTCACAGTCCATCACTTCTACCTCTGCACTCCATTCATTTCCCTTTTTAACACTGCTGGGCCCTAATAGTAGAGAAATTGAGATGAGAGCAGAATGCAAAACTTAATAAATATAACGTGTGATGAACTAGGTACCCTGGGTTCAGTACTTGGCCAGCTCTCCCTAACAAGTCATCATGGACAGAGGAAAATATATTTCAAATAACAAGTCAGTATCACATGCCAAATTTCAAGTCTTTCTTCCAAAATATGACTATATTTGGATTTATCTATAGAACAGTTAAAGTATTTTTTAAGGAGAAAAACACATAATTTCCCTCTAATCCTGTTTCCAGGCATGGAACAGCCACTTTGACTATTGGAATTAAAATAAATAATTAAAATAGAAGCAGAATGTAACAAAGTATTGAAAATATTGCATCCAAAAATAATAAAGTACACATGTAGTAATGGTAAATAAATTATAGTTTGAGCACACAGCAAGGAAAATTTCAGCTCAGACGAAGTTCAGCAAAGTTGGAAGTAAATGAAAAGAAAATTTTTGTTGTAATTCTTAGACTGAGTGACTCCAAGTATAGAAAGCATTACTACCAAATATTATAATATTAATCATTTCTATTCAGGTTTAAAAATTAACTGTAAGAGTTAAAATTTAAAAATTAGTTGATTGTGTCTCGTATCTTCTGATAAAACTGTGTCCTTGACAGCATCCAACTCAGCAGTCGCAACCTCAAATATCAATCAAGACAGCAAATCAATAAAATGAACAAAGGTGATTACTCAGGACTATAATTCCTCAAAAACATGTTTGCATGAAATACTATACCGGGGAAATTTAGTGGTAATTCCACTTTGGCTGAAAACCGGCTGACTTCATTATTCTCACAGATACTTGCTATGAGCTTATTAATTTTGAAGCCAATAACTTTAATGACTTCTCCTGTTGACAGGCAGCATTCATTTCCAAACATCTCATAGATGGAGCCTAAAAAGAAACGCAAAAAGAAAGAAAAACTTTATTCAGCTTTTTCTCACTTTGTCAAGAGTCTTGAGTGAAAGCAAAAACAATACTTAAACTATAGAAAATAATACTTATCCTGTGATAATTGACATAATTTTAATTTTCTTCCTTAGGGTCACGAGAAAATCCATTTTGTGACTTCAGTGACCTCTATATCAGCTCTATATGTACACCGCTCTTAGATGCTTGTAAGGAGAACAAGGTCTGAAGAATCTACATTTCTGAATAACCAGACCAAAATGTAACGAGGTAGAGCATAGGATTGGCTGAGTTGTCAGCAGTTGTCTTCTGAAATCAGCAGGCAATGGAGTTCAGGCAGACAAGGTGCCTCTGGACAGCACAGGGTGTAGGAAACAACAGACTATAGCAGAAGATAAAAACCCACAGACCCTAGAAAGTGCCCAGGGAAAGGACAGGAGACATCAATGTGCAACCAGCATTTGAGCTTCCTGGAGTAACAGAAGACCTGAAGAAAGTACAAGAAATTGGAAAACTGGCAAATTAACCATGGCAACTTCTGTCCCATGCTGAAACAATCCTACTGATTCTGACCTGGCAGCAAAAAAATTCCTTTTTTGGCTGTGATGTTCAGAATTTTGAGAACAGGAACAAGGCAATCCAGCCAAGCGTTTCAGCATTTCCTCAGCAAAACATGGAACTGCATCTTGCCCTGCCAAAAACAGCCTTCCATTTGAGCTGTGGTCAAACCTTTGCTGTTTCAGAAGTAGGTGCAGGGGGAGAAGGATAACCAAAAGCCAAGTTATGCAGAAGGCAAATTCTTCTTGGTCTCTGCAGGAGATTAGCAGAAGCTTTCAGGCATGGGATCAATTAACTATATATAAATGCAATGCAGGAGACACATGGTGTCCCATTTGTAGATAGAATTGCATTGAACACAGAACATCAGAAATGCTGTCTTTAATGCTAGCTTCAAGTCTTCTACACATTTCCTCCCAAGAACTTACCAAAATCTGTCCTGAAGTGGTGTGGACATACCCTTTCTGAAGTTTCATCTCAAAATTTCATTTCCCTTGTGGTGAGAAACCTTGTTGTCATTTCCACTCTCAGTGCATTGGTGAGTGTATTCATTTGCTCTCCTACTAACATTGTTCTGCTACTTAAAATACTTTTTCTCTCATTTCCATTTCTCCCTTCCCCAAGGGGTTTGCAATGTTAATTTTGCCCTTCTCTTTATCACCTCTGAGAAGATGGATTTTCCTTCTCACAATCACTCTAAGCCCCTTCTTGCATCTTGTTCAAAGTCACCTTTTTTTTTTTTTTTTTTTTTTAACCTAGGTAACCAGAATGGTCTCAGGCAATGAGAGATATTTAAAACCTGACCTTTGGCTACATAGTTGTAATCAATAATTGAGTTGGCCTGTACTGAAATATTGCCATTGCCTGCAGAACTCACTTCCCACAGAGAGTAACACTCTTTACTTCACAGTTTTCCTTATAGTTGGTGGGGATAGGGGAGAAAAAGAAAAAAAACAGTTAATTTTTTTTCTTTTACCAGATGCCACATAAAAAAACCAATTATTAGCTGACTGATCTTCCTAATGTTCACTCAAGAACAATTCCAGCCTGGGCTAATAAGCATCTCTTACTGAGTCTGGGATATATTTATCGACTCCGCTGAAGCACTCGCAAGCGGCAAGCACTTGGCTATCACTTTGACCTCACTGGAAGTCATTGGGAGCCCAGCCTGAGCATAACTTACTCTCATTTTAGCCTAAACCCAAAGCCTCTGTAGAGCACCACAGAACAACAGGTTAGTGTGAATACAGGAGAATGAGTGAGAGTAATGACAGCAGCTGGTTGTGTGCTCTGTTGTGAACACACATTCAGGCAAAACCATCATTTGCTTGTGCAATGCTCTCACAATTGAGATGGACACCAGAAGAACCCCAGCTGCTCCTCTAAAGAAGATGTAGGTTTTTAACTCTTTGGAGAAGGAATCTCAGTTTAAAAAAAAAAGTAAAAAACCATCTGTCAGATGCTTTTGATGGGCTGGATGAGACAACATCCCCTGGTTTCTCTTGCTAAGAACCCTACGTAGGCTCAAGGGGTCTGCTGTACTTAGGCTCTGAACTCACCCAGCAGGCTACTGCCTTTCTGTTGCACACTGGGATGATGATTAACACAGAAATTCTGGATTACAATGCCACACAAGTATCAACCAGAGCCAGGTGAAGAAACATGTTGTTTATGCATGCTTTCAACAATTCTGCTACTCAGCAGAAGAATAAGAAAGCTGCTGTCCTTTAACTGAAAAAGAACAATCTAGTATTCTTCTTGTAAGAATAGTGCATAGTTGTTTGCACTCCCTCCAGTCCCTGAGCAATTCAGCATAGACTACCTCAGCTGTCTCCACTGGATATTGCTATAGCTACCATCACTAGGCTGGCTGCTGCTGTAATAAACACATGAGAAATTATTATACGTCTCATTACTTTAGGTGAGCTCCATAGGATATTTTATGACAGTTGGAAAAGTGTATGTGCATTACTTATTTCATATCAGAGTGAGAGGGAGAGAAAGATTGAGCAGCTGTGAAGAGGGTAATATTCCCTTTGTGCTGAACCACCTCACTCCTCACATCAGACACAGTAGAGATTACAAGTAAACGAGATATTATTAGATACAGAGAATCCCAAAGGACCCAGTGTGATGAGCTCTGCATTTCAGAAACATGGAAAGATGAGCAAAGAATTCCAATATTCCCACTTCTGAACAAATATTTGTGAAAACCTACTCAAAATGGGAGCTTGTGGCTTATAGAGGCTTTTTTTTCTTCAGCATAGATTTAGATCCAGCTTCTCCAGATTACCTCACTTGAAAACAAGCTCCTAGAAGCCAGTTAACACATGAAAGCAACTACACAGACTAATTAGGGGCTTTGGGCACATTTGTTTTCATCTCTGCTAGACAGCCTTCGCAAGTGTCATCCCTGGATGTTCACTCACACACCAGCAGTGCTCCTCCATAGGAGCACAGACACTGAACCATACAGGTTCGGTGTCCTCACCGGCTGCAGCTGGTTTGCTAACAACATGGTATCTGGAGTAGAGCTGTCCAAACTGTCCCCGAGGCAAAGAATCATAGAATCATCAAGGTTGGAAGAGACCCCTAAGATCATCAAGTCTAACCTTCAACTGAGCACCATCATGCCCACTAATACATATTACGAAGTGCCATGTCTACTCACGTTTTTAATACCTCCAGGTATGGTGACGCCACCATTTCCCTGGGCAACCTGTTCCAATGCTTAACTACTCTTTCAGTGAAGAAACTTTTCCTAATATCCAACACAAGCCTCCCCTACACTGCTTGAAGCCCTTTTCCCTTGTCCTTTTGCTAGTTACCTGGGGGAAGAGAGCGACCCCCACATTGCCATAACCTCCTTTCAGGTAGTTTTAGAGAGCAATAAGGTCTCCCCTGAGACTTCTTTTCTCCTGACTAAACAACCTCAGCTCCCTCAGTCTCTCCTCATAGGATTTATGTTCAAGCCCCCTCACCAGCTCTGTTGCCCTGCTCTGGACATGCTCCAGCACCCCAAGATCTTTCTTGTCATTCATTTACCACAACTCTCTGGGTTTGGCCATCCAGCCAGCTTTTTAACCAGTGAAGAGTGTACCTGTTCAAGCCATGGGCTGCCAGCTTCTCCAAGACAATGCTGTGGGAGACAGTGTCAAAGACTTCACTGAAGTCTTGGTAGACAACATCCACAGCCTTTCCCTCATCCACTAAATGGAGCAGTTAAGGGGCTAAAGCTCTCAAAAAAATGGTGTGATTGAGAAATATTTAACCACTACTTCAGTTTGTAACTGCAAGAGTGGTGCCACTGAAAAATAAAGAGGGGAGTCAGAGGAAAATTCTTTTTCAGACTATGGCTAGTTCTGAGGGACTTACTACTTTTATCAGGTTTACTTTTCCTCAGACATAGTAGCTTAGCTACAAATTTTATGACAGAGTTTGAGAAGTCCTGCAAAATAAGAAGTATAAACAGCTTGAAAGAAAGTGAAAACATGGATCAATTAGTGATGGGTCTGAGGCTGAAGGTCCAGTTGGGCAATACCCATAAGAAACTTTTTGTGAACGGATCTTACAGGAAAAATAGGGTAAGACTATTTACAAGAGCATGTAGTGACAGGACAAGGGGGAATGGGTTCAAATTGAAAGACAGTAGGTTTAGATTAGATATTAGAAAGATTTGTTAGATATTACTGTGAGGGTGGTGAGGCACTGGAATATGTTGCCCAGGGAAGCAGTGGATGCCCCATCCCTGAAGATGTTCAAGGCCAGGTTGGATGGAGCTGTGAGCAACATCATTTAGTTAAACTCCTGCTCTGGCAGGGGCGTTGGAACTAGAAAATCTTCAAGGTCCCCTTCCAACCCAAAACATTCTAGGATTCTGTGATTCTATGATTCTATGAAGAGAGTTGTTCTACCAAACACTCAAAAAGAGATGATTTGATGACACAAAAATTAGCTTTTGACAAAGCACTCAAAATTTGCAAACCAGGAGAAAAACAGGTAAGTGGTGGCCTAGCACTGTGGAGATGGCAGACAATCTAAAACACTACAAGAAAAGGGTAAAATACACAAGGAAAGAAAATCTGCACTCATAAAAGAGAGAAAGTACCTAAGGCAGACAAGCATATGTAGTACAAGCTGGAGCCTACAAAAAGCATTACATGGAGCTGCAGGCTCTGCTCGAAACATCAAGGGCCAAGATAATGCATTCAGAAAAAAAAATGGATTATAAATGCCACAGTGCAAACCACAAAAGAATGTGCACAGAATAGCTGAGCAGGGCTGCCATAGCACCTTACCTCTCAGAATATTGCATCAGAATGTAACATAGCACTGCTGTGGAAAAAAAACGGATCATTCATTTAAGAGCATCCATTCTAGGAAATATTGAGATGAAAATTAATACTTAAAGAAAAAAAACCATGGCT